TTTCTATTAAATAATAGATATAGAACAGGAACACTGACATTCTCTTGTGAACTTGAAACGTGTTTAAAAAAATCCAAGCCGCAGAAAAATATATATGTAATATCCAATTTGTGTGTCATTATATACTTCCAACCGATTAGACAACTCTAACAAGCTGTTAAAAGAAGCGTAATTATGTTTTAAAAAAGTGTGGATTTTATTCTTTGTAAGTTTTTCGAGTCCGTAAAAGAAGAAAGGCAAATTGTGTCTAAATAAGGGCTCGGAGGGGAAAAGAAGCTCCCAGCTATTCTCCAATTATAATATTATCAAGTTATTGGCGAGAAACTCTAATTGTCACTTTGGTTTCCAATTAAGACTGACACAGCCGAACAAATCCCTCAATCACCCTTCACACTTCCAACTTTAGTGGAATATTTATACAGGAAGATTAATCTGCAACTAGTTTTATCTTCCGCAAACTCTGAAACCGGCGTTAATTGGTAACGAAATCGGCACAGATTAATAACCAATTTGTTATTCCGACCTTTCCATTCCAGGTTTGGATTACCGCAGTGGCGACTTAAATATTTCATAAAAGTCATGGAGTTGGAGCCAATATGGCCGCGAAGTGGATGTTGTAGGGTCCGGGTTTCCGGAATAACTCCGGGTTGGCAAGGGGATGTTGATAATGAGCTTCTGACGAGCTGCTCCCTCGCAACGCAGTTATAACTCCAAAATATGGGGATCGGAAGAATTATTATACGGCAAATAGCCAGGGCCGGATTCGGACGTCTACAAGCCGTGAGGCATGCACTAAGTGGTTCCATAAATTAATAAGAAAATCGTAGGTTCAGAGGTTCATTTGTAACGAAAAAGTTTAAATTGTTCGCAAAGTGTGATTAAACTATTTTTAAATTGATGTGAACATTTTAGTGAGACGAAAAGCCATATTTATGCTTTAATTGTGGTATGTAATATTTTTATTGCTTTGTTAACAACCTCCCGAAAGCTTCAACTTTACACTTACTATCGCTGAATTATTTTCCTCTGGAATGCGAATGCTGAATTTTCATCAAGAAATCGATAAGAAGCTTTCTCAATGCATGAACAAGTCAAATCTTAAAGTTACCTTAGCTTTAGAAAATAAAAGATAAAGTTTAATGTTCAAGTTTTTGTTTTGTTTTGAGAAACATTATTTTAGCTACAGAAGTAAATATATAAAAAACAATTTAAAAATATATATCCATTAATTAACATAAAAAATGTTAAACGGTTATAAATTTTCTATAAAAAAAATATTTTAATAGTAAACAAAAATAAGATAAATATAAAAAATTATGATGAATATATTGTGTCTTAACTTTCGCCATGAATTATTTCTACTTCTTTTTCTCTTCCATAACTAAGAAAAGTATCCTAATAGGGTCTATCTGGCGAATGTATAGCAGATTAAACGTTAACCAAAATTTGTGTATGCAAATCTTATTTAAATTTTATAAAATAATCTATTTCTACATAATCGGTCCTTACTTTTTATTTTAAATACTGAAAAAATCAGAATTATATTCGAAAAATTATAAAATCGATTTTGCAAATTTTATTTTTCCTGTCTGAAATGTACAAAATACCGAGTCAAAATTGACTACTGTGAACTGACATGCCAATATTGCTGCCAATAATTCAAAATTACCAACCCAAAAATTTGTTTCAATCAATAATCACCCGGTATTATGCGTCTGCATTCGTAATTTATGAATTAACAGATATTTTTTTAGAATTTAGAATAAACGGGATGTCTAAAAAAATTAATGAAATAAACAATTCATTTTATCGAATAAATCCAAAATGGTCTAACTTAGGTATGTTCTTGAAATTTTGTAATACATTATATACTTAGTTGTTAGTAGGTATTACACTGTTCCTATTTATATTTATATATTTGTTATTTTAATAGTTCAATAGTTTAGTTTAGTTTAATAATTCACCTCTAATTTTATTTTAATTTTTAGGGGTTATCACAAAAAATACCTCAATTTGGTTTTATAATTTCTCTAAGAAACTGCATTTGTTTGAATCTTCTTATGAAACATTCCACATACACATTTCCCATTGCGTTTAATCATGTATTATATTTCTATATATACACGTTGATCCAGTTAAGTAGATACATATGTTAAAATTATAAAAACGCCGTTGTTTTTAGCTTGAAGCGGATAGTTTAATTTAGTATATTCCAAGTATGACCCACAGGACGTGTTGGCGTCGCGGCCCAAACTTATTCGGATTTTAGTAGACATACCGACAACAATATTTATTTCATTTTTAGTCGATAAAAAAAATAAAATTAATAATGATAAAAAAATTAAAGTTTACACAATGTCAATATTTCTAGCGGTTTTCAATATACAGTATGTCCCCGGATTGAGTTCACAAGAGAAAAAAAAAACTGTATTTTCTATTTTACAAAAAAATGACATAGGAATAACATTTTTTGTTTAATTCAAAACGAATAAATCTGCAATTAAAACTTCAATATTCCTGGTCTGTACTCCTAAAATTAATTTTTTCATATTTCTGAGTTCTTCGTTACTTTTAGTTTTTTTCGATTTTAAGTACACAGTCTGATAATACTAAAATTTTAATTGCAGATTTATCCGTCTTGAATTAAACAAAAAATGTTATTCCTATGTCATTTTTTTTTGTAAAATAGAAAATACAGTTTTTTTTTCCTCCTGTGAACGGGGACATACTGTATAAAACCAAGGACTTTTAATTGGGCACCCCATATTTGAATAATAAAACTGAAATATCTGTAAATAACGACTTTTCACTTGTGTTTATCATTTTTTGTCCGCATTCATAAGTCACTACATAATTTCTTATTAACATTTAGGACTGATACACTTATTTTTTTTATTACAACCCACAACAAATTCAACTGAAACTTCAGCCAATACATATTGCTAGCGTTAATTACAAGTAGCTATTGAACACATAATTGACAAGCACAATATTTCCAAATTCTTTGAAGAATTATAAAATTTGATTTTGAGAATTTTATTTTTTCATTAAAAGTTATAATAAGTTAAATATAAATGCAGTCATAAAGTACAAGTAAGACTTAAAATATTTTGCACATTTTACGTAGAATTTATTAGGGAAAATTTTGAGATAACGTCATAATTTTTTTTTTCGAGTAAGAAGCAGACAAATTTTGATTAACAAATTTACCAAGCTTTGGTTTTATAATTTCAAAGTTAAATTGTGAAGTGTTAATTCTAATTTTGTTTACAAAAATTCCAATGTCGAGGGAAAAAATCAAGACAGATTCATAAACCAAAAATGCTTTTTTATGAAATCCAAATAAAATTTAATATGCAAAATTTTGAGTTGCGGTGGGGATCACTAGACAAACTTTGATTAGAGTTTTACCATGTCCACGATATTCCTAAACTGCACATAAAATTTGACAACAATCGGTCCAGTAGTTTCGGAGATCATCTGTCCATTAAAAATCGGGACAGTGGTAGATGATAGGTAAGCGGAATCGCAGAACCTAATTTTTATACCCTAGGAGTCACGAAACGTCGAAAAATATTAAAGTAAAACTGTTTTATAGGGTTTCTCATCACATGAGAGTATTCAAAATGATGAACAAAAACAAGTAGAAACTTATAAGTCATTTATACCCAAAGTCCTGACCTGATCTGATTTCACCTGACCTGACCTGAGCTGTCCTGACCTGACTTGACCTGACCTGACATGGCCTGGGAGTCAAACCACCTTACTCATATCATGTTTTTCTCTTTTTAAAATCTTCCTTTTTAATACTTGAATTTTATTTTTTTAACTAATTTTTCAAATTTAAATGTCCAAATATTACGTCTTGAAACTATAGGTACACGTTATATTTAGGTACGTTTCTATAACGTTGATAGTGGTTTAGCTAAATTTCAGTGATCTTAACGTAATAAAAACGTTATTTCATCGTCATTTGGCTAATATTATTTCAATAAATTTCAATTTCAAAGTGAAATATTTATAATATTCAGAAATAAAAATGTATTGTTCATTTTATTATTTTAATTAATCTTTAATAATATTTTTTTAATACTCACGTTAATTTACACTTTATGATTTTTTTACAGAGTACAGATTTAACGTTAATCTCCTGTTTAAATCTGCTATATTAAGATAAAACTAAAATAATTTCAGTTTGTGCTTCTGAATCCGCCCCTGCAATCACCCCTCGCCCTCTCTTCGCGCCAATTCCGGAACATTTTCTACAGTTTTACTTTCGTTCTAACGAGCGGTGTAATTGCCACTGGAAATACTGTCTTTTTCTCCCAGTAATACAATTTCCAATAAATTCATAACTGTTTTGATTGGACAATGAAGGTGAGTGAAGAACTGGTCCGCTGTACGGCACGCAAACAGGCTCATTATTCACCGTTCTTTTGTTTCCGGAAACAACACTCACGCCATTTTGCAACATGGCGCCGGCTATATCCGCCAATAGGTCAACACATCACACACGTTCCGTTATTTCTTTGTTTGCTTTACCCCAGGACTACAATCGAGCAGGTTAATACTCTTCGAATTTGATTTATGAGACGAGCTTCGATCGGTATTTTAAAAGTGGTTTATAAAAGGGTTGCATTCTATTTGGTGAAAAAAGTTTGCAGAGACATGTTTTATTGTGTAATGGAAAGTGCATTAGCTTAATCTAATTAGGCATTACGCGAGTCATTTATCAGAGGCTCAGCTCAGCCCTGCTTTCCACTCTTCACTGATGTATATTTTATGCACCATTAAATATACAGAGTGCGCGTTCGCTACAATTGACAATTATTTATATTACAGTTACCATTTATCACATTATCGTTCAGTTATACCCGCATATTTCATAATAGTGAATGTTATTGAAGCAAATAAAACGGCGCAATTGGTTTTTACAACGTACAGTGATTTAGTGAATGTACTTTAGTAAATTTGCGTTTGAAAATGGAAGAGATATTTACCTGATAAACAGGAACCAGGGCCTGAGGAACTAAAGGAGTTTTTCAGCTGGGCGAAACCTAAAAATAGCAAAAATGTATTAGTATTTCAGAAACGTCAAAAATCAATTACATATTAAAAAACATGTCTGTATACAGTTATATAGGTATTTGAATAGTAGTCTCATAAATTCCACTGCAATTTTAAGCATCTAATGTCGATTAAAATGCATAATTCTTCTGATGTATTGGGTCAATCTATTATTATGTGGGCAGTTCAGAATCATAAGCTGTAAATTGTTCTTTTTCAATTATCGATTCATTGTTGAAAAGGATACTGAAATAACAGTACCTACAGAACATCACCGCTATGTGTTTAATAATGAAAAAAGAGACAGTAAAATAAGAATGCATTTTTAAATTAAAACTAAAGAGTTGTCAATAGCAATAATTGTAGACTAATTCTGTATTATTAGGTCAAAATAGTATTTAAGAAAGGTGAAACTTCATGCAATACTTATTGTAAAACTAAGGGCCATATTTTAAAGGTAAATATCAACTTTTTAGTTAGTGTTTTAAAAACCAAAACATCATCAATATTTGAGACAGCATTCAGATTTTATTAGACTGCTTTGAAGAACAGTCTGCAGCGAATGTTTAATTTTCCACCCTTTGACCGTTGAAACACCCTGTATGAATTTATTTTACATGAGTATTTTGGCAGAAATGCCGAAAAAAATTAAATTCTATGTTGTGTCATTAACTGCCGAAAAATAAAATAATTTCGAAAGACATATTTAAATCAATTTTTCTAATTTGTTTTTGGCGAATTGTATGCAACATTCGTAATTTTTTAATAATCTACACAGTACGAAAATTATATTCTGTTAATGAATAATGTTGCAGTATTTTCATTAAGACTTATTTAGTGTGCGATGCGTCGATGAATAAAAACTCTGCAAAAAATGCCTGATAAGAAAGGTATCGGCGAGAATTTTTTGTTCATTTTTCGGTTACGCAAAGGAGCTCAGTCGCAGTCGGTTTTGGCTTTGTTCAGGGCGTGTGTGGTTGTTAATTAGTTTGTTTAAATGGTTTATTTTTGTTAAAAATAATTTGGTTTCGGTCTTAAAGTGAAAGGTGAGTGTTGTGATGTGCCCTAGAGGAAGGAGTCTGCAAGAATCAGCGCGGAAGGAAAGGAAATCAGGATTTAAAGGGTAAGTGTTGCTATTATTTATTATTTCTTCAGTTCTTTTATTCTCAATTGATATAAAAATACGGATACTAAGGGAGAAGTAGCTGTATTGTATAAATCGTTACAATGTTTGTTTCAACAAGAACTCAACCGTTAATATCTCGTCAGATATTTATTCTTTAAAACTGGCCTTTCTAATAGGTTTTTCTTAAATTTCAGAATTTTGAAATATTTTTGTAATTGAAATATTAACTATACAACTAAAAGAAGTTCACGAAAACGTTTCAGACAATCAGTTTATTTGAAAACGGTGATCTTCTATGTTTGAGTTTATTGGGAAGTGTTTATTGAAGTTTCGGTTAAATTAACTTTAGAATATTTTTAACGTAGTGTAGCCGGGTTATTTTTACTAAACTTTCATTTCTTGTTTTCTGGACATATCTCAGTTTATGGAGTAAAAATATCGATTTTCCATTTCTGATTAATATTTTTTTAATCTTATCTACTCATTAAACGTATGTAGTGTTGAATTGCACCATTATTAAGAATTAGTATGTATGAAGTTGATGGTATTTTTTTTTGGTACACAAAAATTCCATGTGTTTTTTGTTGCAGTGGGTTCGTACATGAAGATGAGGGGATTCGCTCAATTGTGGCAGAAGATGAAGCCTAAAGGTTAGAATTTTGCATTAATTTTAAATTGGGTGTTGTTTTTTTTTTCACATTTTTTTATCTTTTATAAAGACTATTTTGTCTTATTTTTGTTTTATGAAATTTTTTTAACGTCTTTTTGTTACTTATTTTGTAAGTATTTTATTTTATTTTTTTTATGCACTCTTTTCCTTACGTGTGTATGTATGTTCATACAATTTTTTCTTTTCGATTTTTCGTGCACAAAAAAATTACGTTTCTTTCAAATTTTTTCTCAAGAATATTTAAATTATATATGATTATTTGTTGCTAAACCGTTTTATTCAGTGTTTGATTTTGTTCACAACTATATGTAAAATAAATTTTTGTTTCCACACATTAATATCTGCTCTAGGGTTTAAATTTTAACACATTTTTCTATCTTAAAATTCTTATTTCATAAATAAAATAACTAAGATAATTTTTTTTAAGAGTTAATAAGTTAATAGAGGCAATTTTATTATCTATTTTTTCCTTTCACTCATTATTACTCCCTCGCCCCTGAAGTAGGTACAATAAAACATACTAGCTCTTTTGAAATCTTATAAAATTTGATTTTGCGAATTTTATATTTTATAATAACTCCTATAAGTGAAAACAATGATGTCATCAACATTTTTGCAAGGACACGTATGTCAATTTGGTTAGATGCAGTACAATACCAAAAATATCAGTACTGCATTCCCAAAACTTCGAGAAAATGGAGTGAGTCGTTCTTTTTCGTAGTAAGTAATGTTTACATTTTATAACATAACATACCTACACCTATATTTGTGGTTGATGAGTCTGCCTTGATTTTTATCATAATTACTTTACAAAACTTTTTGTGCCCGTAGCTGATATTTGGGTTACATGCATAACGACATTGAATTTATTTGAATATTTATCTTCAGGTGCGAGGGATGTCCTGATTAAATGACTTTATACCTTTTTTATTTCCCGAGCGTAAAGAAGTATAGTAATCGAGTCCACTGGACGAATGGCCAATTTTATGTTTTCTCGACGTTTTATGACTTCTGTAGTATGAAAAAAGTAGTATCCCGTTTCCATCTGTCTGTCTGTCTGTATCCACTTTTATTAGACACGTAATCTCCGAAACTGCTAGGCCGATTGTTGTTAAATTTTGTATGTATATTAGAAATATCATGTAGATGGTTAAATGCTAATTAAAATTTGGATAATCATCCCCACCAACAATTTGATGACGTCCTTTCAATGAATTGTATTCTAAAATGATTTGAATGTTACACAAAAATATACTCATATACCTACTTGTAGTGTACGAATCCACTTTCAGTTTTTTCACTAAGCGCTCAAATTTTCGCAAGAACATTTGCAAGGTATAATAATGTTTTATTCCCGACACAGTTGGGCCGTTTGTTGTCAAATTTTGTTTTATATTAGGAATAACATGTGGTTGGTAAAACGCTAATCAAAATTTGTCTAATCATCCCTACCAATAATGATGACGTCACTTCAAAATTGCACATAGTAAATGGGTTTTAAATTGTATGAAATAACATAGTCCTACACATGTAGTTTATGACTCCGTATTGATTTTTTATCGGAAACGTCCACCTTTTTGGAAAAAAAACCGAATGCTTTGAAATTTTGGAGATGTTTTAAAGTTATCATAATCTTGAAAAATGTTTATTCAAAATATATTTACTTATTCCCTCCAAAAAGTTGATGACGTCACCTCAAAATTGTACCGAATAAATTCTATCTAAAATTGCAAAATATGATCGGTCTATACTTGTAATTCATCACTGCATTCAGATTTTTTAGATTTGCTTATACAGGGTGACTCAAAAAAATTAATAAATCAGTCGATCTTGAGCATTTGGTGGTGTCTTAATAATTTTGAGAATTAGGATTTTGAGGATTTGATGATTTTGAGGATTTGATGATTTTGAGGTTTTGATGATTTTGAGGATTTAGTGTCTTGAAGATTTGAGGATTTCGAGGATTAGAGAGTTTTGATGATTTTTCTATTTGATATTTTGAGGATTCTGAGAATTTGAGCATTTTGAGGATTTTTTAAATTTGAGCATTTTGAGGATTTTTTAAATTTGGTAGTTTGAAGCTTTTGAAAATTCGGTGTTTTGAGGATTTTGGGAGTTTGGTCATTTGAAGATTTGAGGATTTCAAAGATTGCAAGGTCCTCTTGAGCATTTTGAGAATTTTAGAATTTTGAGGATTTTTTGAATTTGGTGATTTGAGGATTTTGAGGATTTAATGATTTAGTGATTTAGAAGTTTTGAGAACTTTGAGTATTTGAAGACTTTTAGAATTTGAGGATTTTGATGATTTGAGAATTTGGAAATGTGAGGATTTTGAGAATTTGAGGATTTGAGGATTTGAAAATTTTGAGGAATTTTTTTTGAATTTGATGATTTGATGATTTTGAGGATTCAGTGTCTTGAGGATTTTGAGAATTTGAAAATTTTGATTATTTGAGGATTTGGTCCCTTGAGAATTTTGTGTATTTGAGGATTTTTAAAACTCGAGGATTTTGATGATTTGAGAATTTGATAATGTGAGGATTTTCAGAATTTGAGCATTTGAATATTTCGAAGAGTTTTTTTGAATTTGGTGATTTGAGGATTTTGAGGATTTGAGGATTTGAAGATTTTGAGAAATCAGTGTCTTGGGGATTTTGAGAATTTGAGCATTTTTAGGATTTGATGATTTTGAGGATTTAGTGTCTTGAAGATTTGAGGATTTCCAGTATTAGAGAATTTTGATGATTTTTTTATTTGATATTTTGAAGATTCTGAGAGTTTGGGCACTTTGAGGATTTTTTTAAAATTGGTGATTTAAAGCTTTTGAAGATTTTGGGTTTTGAGGATTTGATGATTTGAGGATTTTGAAGATTAGAGGTTCTTGATGACTTTTTTGAATTTGATTTGTGGATTTTACAAATTTGGTGCTTTAGGGAATTGAAGATTTCGAAGATTTTGAGGATTTGAAAATCTTGAGGGTTTGCTGAATTTCGTAATTTGAGATAATAATTTTGACGATTTGATGATTTTAAGGATTTGATGTGTTGAGAATTTGGAGAACTTGAGAATTTTGATTAAGTATTTGAGGAATTTTAGAACTTTAGGATTTTGAGGATTTGAGCATTTGAATATTTCGAAGTGATTTTTTGAATTTGGTGATTTGATGTTTTTGAGGATTTGACGATTGGAAGATT